GAACAAACAAACAATCCCCATCAATCAATCACCAAATTAACTTTTATCAGAAAAGAATTACTTGATCAAAAAATATATGTGGTGTCTCTATGCTATTAAATTTGTACGAGTATCTATCTATGTTAATGGCCTATCATAATTTACATAAAAAGATAATAAAAAGGTGATAAAACTAACGCTTTGCTGATTCGCTCGTAAAAATTACCTTCATACATTTCAAACTTATCTAATCTCATTTATTTATATTTATCCTAGTTTATCCTTTTCAAATTGGATTATGCACGTGATATCCTTTGTGAATAACTTTGTATCACGATCATGCTTATCTTTATGTGGGTGGTGTGGAAACACTAGATTGATAATTCTAATTTTCGGGAATGAATCCCAAAGGCAGGTTAGTTGAACTCATCGGATTTTCTCTTCAAGCAAAGAAATATAAATTCCTATACATTTTTTTTTTTTTTTTTTTTTTTTTGTGCTAATTTTTTCTAGGTATTCCCGATTGGTATCACGCGAAATCATTTACCCCACCTTTTTTTCCATTCTTTCAACGGCTGTGAAACGGACGAAACCGACATGACGGCATATCCAAACCCTAATTAGTAAAAGAAATCAGATCACTTACATTTTTTATGGGACTCACTTTTGGCAGAAAAACTCTCACCAAAACGGGCACATGCCAATTTTTAATTTACGATATTAAAAAAAAAACAAACATTTTCTTATCGGAATTTCTAATTAATTGTTGCATATAAATTTGTCTCTCTTTCTTATCCAAAAATTTAAATTTGATTATAAACAAACAACTTGATATTTATAGAAAAAACATCATCAATTGGTCGTTTTACTGCGCCTAATTTATCTTGTTTGAATTTCCTTTTTAAGAAACTGGTGATTCAGCTGGTGTGAATTCGATTGTTTTCTGAATAATCCGGAAACTATCTCAACATTTATTATTTATAAATATACAGTAAATTTATAAGTTTAATTACATGACAAAAATATTTCATTTGGAGAACAATTTTTGGTACTGCATAATTTCACATGGGCATGCGACAATGACGCCATAAGGGAATCGCAAGGGTTCTAATTATTAAACGCCACTGTAGTCATACATTATAAATCTAAACCATATTGAAACTTGAATTCATCACGAGAAAGTGAATTTTATTTACATATAAATATAAATAAATCAATTTTATTTTATATACTATATATTATGCATATTAATGTAATTTTTTTGTATTTCAAAATATAATGAAATTAATTCAAGTTTGATCACATGGAGTATTCAATTCTATTTATCAATTATGTGAATCGATTTCGGTGATATAATGAGATTCCACCGTAATTATGGACATAACAATCAATCCTCAGAACAATAATCAAGATCAAACGATCCTCACCACAATTATTTTATTTGTTGATGATACTTAATAATAATATTGTTATCCCTTAAAAAACATCCTTATTATCAATAAAAGTCACGAGTGGATCCAAGAGTTTTGCGAGTCTTCTTTTACAAATCATCATAGCGGTTACAAATCCATGCATCTGGCTAATAAATATGAGAAAAAAAATTAGTCATCGTTTGTCAAGAAGTTGGTAATAATCAAATATAATATTTGGAGCGCTTATTCTGTCGGCATAATTCGTGTACGAATTAAGTAAGACTTCACTTGACTCATCCGAAAATGTCGGCCAACAAAAAGAATCCGGTCTTCTTTATCCACTCCGTGATTAGGAAAAAAAAATCCAAGGTTTACGAGCAACCGGTGATCGTATGAAAACTGATCAAGGAAATAATCGGATGCATTTGAAGAATTTTTATTCTTTGTCGATTTTGATTCATTAATGTGATCCATCCAACCTGTTTGCTAATCATAAACCTTTTCCTTGGCGCTTTGGAATCTTCAAACTTTCAATATAATTCAACCTTCTATATTATTATTATTATAATATTAAATAACATTCTTAAGAATTCTTGTGAATCTTAGAAAGTAGAAACAAAATAAATCTATCCATATCTTTCCGTTCCCTAATTTATATAGCAAATAACCAATGCGCGATCGCTGTATGGGTAAAGTACTTTTTACATAATGTTATAAGAAAATTGGAGAATATGATTAGTAATAAATCACGAAAGTGAAAATTTGTGTCACTAGGTATCTATTTTACTTACAGGTATATTCATGACGAGAGTTTATGCGGGAAGACACTATTGAATTATCTATTTTGTGAGACGTACGCTGGGCTAGGTTAAGGCAAGAAGGCAGATCTTTCTCTAAACGAATAGGACAGGATAAACATCTACTTCATTATAAGCAATCATTGAATATTCATTTAAAGTAAACGTTCTTACTTTCTTTTATAAAAGCTATTTTTAATTTAAAAAAAAAGTCGAGAGAAAAGTTAATCAGATGTTTTAATATATATATTTATAGTAAAGGATCTAATAATATCACCTTATCGAGTGTTTGGTTCAACTCCTTGATCATGTATGTAATGGACGTTAAGAAGCATAATTCTTAAGAAGGTGGGATTCCATAATATTTTTAAAGTTTTAAAAATAAAGATAATGAATTTTGCAGGATTTGCACAGAATTTACTTTATTTATAAATATGTCGATCATTTAACATTTCGCGTTTTTAGTTAGATTAATTTATATTGTAAAACGTATAATAAATTAATTAGTTTATACTTACAGTATATCATATAATTTAACAAATTGATTCTTTTTTTTTATCTAATTTCCCTTAAAAATAAAATTCAAAAAATTTTTTTTTTGTGTGTTTAAAACAAATAGGAACAAGTTCATATTGATATATGACCTACCTCTTAGATAAGTTAGTTATTGACTATATTTTATTTAGAGTCTCATTTATTTATTAAAAGAATAAGATTAAAAAGTTACTTATTTAAATTCATTTTTGATTTGACAAAATGACTAAACCTTTAATTTTGCTAACTTTTTACTAAGTTTTTGATATAGTTTTACTATTTTGATATGGTTTATTTTTTCTTGAATTTTGCAAAATTTTTAATAAGGTTTTAATAAAATTTTATTAAATTTTACCTTTTATCATTTACTTTAGGTAATTACAATCTAATCAATCACTTATCTAAAAGTTGTTATCTAATATATAATCTACTAATATTTAGGTTTGATTCTAGATTAATTCAACTAGATCTCATTTAAATTTACTGTCAAATTTGAATAAAAAACTTACTTTAACTATAATGATCAATAATCACTATTTTTATCAATTATTAATCATATTTTTTATAGAATTTTAACTTATTAATACCTGCTAAGATCTGAATAAGATCAGATTTGAATTCTAATTTAAAGTGCTTTATATGATTTATTAGATCAGGTGATTTTATATTTATAGTATCAAATATATTTAAAATTAAATTTAATCTCTAATTTAAGTGATAACTTAATTAAACTGATATTGCATTATATAATACAATTTATTATTATTAGTAATTCTAGTATTATAAACTGAATCAATTAATTTTCTAATTATTAATTAATTATTTTTTATAAAATAAAGACCTCTGATAAGTAAACGTAAAGTAATATTTAATATAGATTATTAGTAAAACTAAGTTTTTATTAATTTCTGATTTTATTTATATTTATATATTTTTAAAATTAGTATTTAGATATAATGAGTATTGATTGATAAATTTATAAATTAGTTTTTAATATATATAGATAATGGCCTAAATTAGTGTTCCTAATGAGTCAAGTTGAGTCGAGTTTCAAGTCAAAATTATCCTATATACCTTTAATTTAAAGTACTTATTTATTATGTGTAACTAAAATTTACAATTATGCACAATCATGCGAGTTAAATATACGAGTTTATGCGAATCATTTTTAGAACTCTAGCCTAAATAATTCAGTCAGTTTGTTTTGCCAAAATTATGCTGATCATCATATATTTTTTTAACTTAAAAGTTATTAAAAATTTTGTTATTTACCTTATATAAATATTTTTTACAGGTAATAAAATTTTTTAAAAAGATAATTACACTATATCATTCAAAGGTTGCTACCAGTATAATCACAGATGAAAATACTGAAATCATAAAGCTTAATTAATTAATACAATTATCATATCTCAATCCTATTAAGAATTTTTAGTCAAAAATAAAAAGAATAATAGTTTGCTATTACTTACTATTAAATCTAGTATTAGTATATTTATAAAATATGTCAAAAATATAGGATGATCTCCATTTTAAAAATTAATTAATAGTATACTTCAGAGGGCTAATGCAATTATTTTTGCAAATAGAAATAGAATTAATTATTAATTTTTATAAAATTTAATAAAGAAAGATATAATAAATATATAAACTTAAAATTTTATTTTAATTTTATAAAATATATATAAATTTTTAAATGTTGAAAAATGATTAGATCATTTAGAATACTATCTGTATTAATAGTATTAGACTATTTGTCCAATTGAACATTTGGATATCTAATTAGATATCTAATTAGATATATATTCACAATATCTAATAAATTATTTGAACATAAGAAAAATGTTTAATTGATTTTTTAATTAATTTTATTAAAAAAATTTAAAAAACTTTTAATTGAATTACCTTTTTTTTAACAATAAAAAAATACCACTTTATTTAAAATATAATGAAAAAAATCTTTGAAAAACATTTTTCAATTATTTAAAAATTATTATTATTATTTATTAGTATCAGTTGTCAATTCCAATCGATTAATATTCAACATTCAACACTAGTATTTCTAATAAATAATTTCATTGGACAATAGATATTTTCTTTGAATCAATATGATTAACTTATTCTATTTCATCTGTAATTAATAAACACATTAATAGTTCAAATTAAAAAAAAATTGTAATACTTATTCAATAATAACAAATACATAGGAGGATGGAGTTTTACAAAATTAAAAATATCACCTAACTTTCATTTTAGCTTTTTTGTTAATAAGTGAGTGTTATTTACGTAAAATTTGATTTAAATCTATAGTATAATTAATGAGTGATTCTACAATTTCATTATCTTCTTTATCCGCCTGATTCATTCCTATCTCTTTATCTTGTACCATTTCAATCTATTCATTTATTAAATTTTTTCACTCACAAAATGATTCAATATCACATTCTGAATTATTATCATTATCAGATATATAGAATAGATTATCTTCCTCCTGTTCTTAAACTATTAGAACTGCAATACTTGTGGTTTTAAACTTTTTATTGACATATAAGATATTTTCTAATTGTTTTTTCTATTAAAACTCTCCTTTTATTTGACTTATAGCAAAAACTTTTTCTAAATATAATAGATTAGTTAATAAATAATTAATTATATTTAAAATGTATATGCCTATCCAATTTCTTTTATTTATGTGAAAAAATCACATAATAGAAAATAATCTTTTAACTAAAGCAGTATTAATACAAATTGCATATATTTTTGTAGAAAAAGCACTTAAATCTGATGTATAAGCAGAAACAAAATCCTAAAAGTTAAGTATACCATTACGAAATTATTTTAAAGAAATATTATTAAATGGAAAATCTTACTTTCGATAATTTTGCAATTCTTCTAATAATGTAGTAGACATCTGTCTAAACTAAGCACAAAAATAATAAATTATCTATTCACTTAGTTGAGCAAAAGAGATAGATTGGTTGTTTTGAATTAAAAAATTATCTTGATATTCAGGATGAAGAAATAAAGAAACTAATAATAAAGGTTATTTTCAGATATACCACTGTTTTTCTAAATGCGAAATCATTTTTTTTCTCAAATCTTGATTAGAATATTCTTATCATATTTTGTAAAAATAACTGAAACTATAAAGTACATCATAAAGACAGACATTTTCTATTTGTAATTTATTTAGTACTCTACAAAAAGGAAGTAAAAGCTTTTCTAATTGTTTAATTTCTTTTCATCAGATTTCATTGTTAATAATTTTACAAATTTCAAGTGGTAAAATCTTTTTAGATTCTTTATCAGAATGATAAAATTCTTCATTTTGATTATTTTGATCAAATTTATTAGAAGCATATTTTGAAATAAGCATCTAAAAAATATAAAAATAAGTTAATGTTGTTTAATTAAAAATTAAAATATTTGTAAATACCTTTAAAGCTGCTTTTATTTGTAATAAACTGAAATAACAATAATAATGAGAATCCCAAAGGTAGTATATGAAAGAATAGTGAAAAATATTTATTATATTTAATTTTTTATTTGTTATATAATCTAGTTATAAAATAAACTGATTTATTAAAATATACGATAATATAAATAGCATTTTCAGATGCAATAATCAAATTAGAAGATTCCTTAAAAATCTTCTTAACAACTAAATTTGTTTGATGAATGAAATAAGGACTAAAAAAACATTACGCCATTTTAATGCCAAACGTTTTCTGCAAAATAAAAAAAATCAAAATTATATAATAAATAATTTAAAAATTTAAATTTATTAATGTAAATTACCTTGCAGCTTAGTTTTGAGATACAGAATTAGTAATTATAGCATTATATTATATATTTTTTTTCATCTAAATCTCTCAAAAAATTCAATAAAATTTCTTTAATTTATTTTTATTAAAGATGATTCTTATTTATATCTTCTTCTCTTTATATTAAAACTTGTTCATCAGAAATAATTAAAACTGAATCTATTATCTCTTGCTTTTTAACATTTTTCCATCCATTAAAATATATAGTAACTTTAAATGTATCTTTTTATGCTGTATCAATTAAAGCACCTTTAATATTTTTTGAAATTGTATTTAAAATACAATCTGCTAATATTTTTTAGCTAGATAATTTCAATTCAGGATTTACAAAATTCATTATTTTTTGACTTGATTAATTTTTAACCATCTAAATAACCAACCATTATTTATAGTAGCATTCAATACTAAATTTTCTCATTGTGCAGTATTTTGCTTAAAAAGAGGAGTTGAACAAAGTATATAAGTAGTGATTTTTTTTGATTATTAAAATTTAGATTTTTTGCTATAAAATCAGTAGATTCTCTTTTATCTAAAAAATAAATTTCAATATTAATTATTTAATTTAACAAGTTGCAACAATATTATTAGTCTAAAAAAAAATCATATGGAGGAGATAAAGGAAAAGAAGTTTCTTTATCATTCTCTTCATAATTTTTAGGAAAAAGTATCCTATTTCTTTCGTCTTTGCTATAATATTCTTCAAAATTTTTTACAAGATTTTAAATAGGAAATTACTAATCTTTTTATATTAGTAATTTTAATTTTATAATAATAATATGATACATAATTATTATATTTATTTAATTTTTTAGTTAAAACAGTAATATACTTAGTAAGAAAATGTTTTGAAGGTAGTATTTTGAATAAAAAAAAGAAAATTTTTTATCAATCATCTTTATTATACAATATATAAAAATGCTGATTATTCAATTGAACAACTAGATATACAGTCAACTCTTGATATAGCAAACTCTTAATATAATGAATTTTTTAAACAAATATAATAAAAATACTTTTGTTATAGCAAATTGGCTAATCAAATCTCTTAAAATCTTTACTATAATCTTATAGCGAAGTTGAAGTTTAGGACATAGAATTTGTTATAATAAGAGTTGACTATATATCCATTTGAATAGTGTCTAAATATTCAATTATAGGAATTGGACATTGTCCAAATCAAATATCTAATTGAATAACTGGATATATGTTCATTTGGATAGTGTCTAAATGTCTAATTATAGAAATTGAACATTATCCAAATCTAACACTAGTATTAATATATATATTTATATATTCAATCATAATAAAATTCTTATAAAAATTATATTATTAATGCTTTGACTAATACTTGAACTTATGATTATTTTATTATAAAATTTAATTAATTTCTTAAATTTTAAAAATTAATTATTATGTTTTTTATTAAAAAATTCTAAAATAATTTATATGCATATTTTTAAAATTTAATTAGTTTATATATATTTTTATATTTCTATTTAAAAAATTAAAACGTATGTATAAATTGATTATAAAATATTGTAAAATAATTATAATATTTTAATATCTAGTAATTATAAAAAGATGAAATAAAGTTTATTAGATTTATCATATTAAGATTTATCTGATAATAGTATTTTTAAATTTTTAAATTAATAATTATTAATATATATTAATATTTCAATTTTTTAATTTTTAAAATAACTTATTATCTAATAATTACAAGAAAATAACTCTTTTTAGCAATTACTTAATCAAGAATTTTACATAAAAAATGTATATGTTTAAGAATAGCCACAGTTTAGCTTGCAAACAAAAAATAAAACTTCCTTTTTAAACTTCTTCTTCTCTTTGTTCTTCCCAAATATTTTTATTCTAAAAAACAGTTTTATTAGTCCAAATAGTGGTTTATTTTTGTTAAAATATTTTTTTCACTATTTCTCATAGCTATTTTTCTGTTTTTTCTCCTTTTTCTTTTTGTTTACAAAAGTAGATATCAAGAAATATCCCAAATGATGATCAGAATCGATAACAACTTTAGATCAACTAATTGCATGTAATGATTTTCTCATTATCTTCCTAAACAAGTATATTCTTTTTAAATTTCTGATATGATAGAGCTTGTTGATCTTAGCAGGATTTTTCAGTTTCTTGCAATTGTGTAATTTGGGTTTTATATAATGCCTGCCAGTAGCTGTAATCTAAATTGATAGACATCTTAGCATAAAAGTTTGAAAATACTGAAGAGCTTCTAACAGAACTTAGTGATATAGACACTCCTATGCTGAGAAATCACTATAACTAAAAATTAATTCGCAACTTAACTAAAACTTATTGAAGTCAGATTTTTTTATTAGCTTCTTTTTCAGTTTAACAATAATTTGAGTTACTTATTTTTGTATTGAATTTATTATTAAGAAAAAGAGAGGAGCATAATAATCTAGTTATCGTATATTGATGAAAACTTTATTAATAATTATTTTTAAAGTATAGTAGAATGATCAGTTAGTCTGAGATTAGTAAGTTTTTAACTTATAAGAACGTTTTAAGCAGTTCAATTTATTTTTTCTATTTTTGTATCTGATTTTCAAAATTTCTATGTATTAATCTATTGGATTTGAATTTTCATAATAAATATGAGTATTACCGTATCTTTAAAAAAAATAATTACAAGAAAATAAAATTTAATTTATCAAATTAAGACCTATTAAATGATTATATTTTCATATTTTTGAGATTAATAGATAACAAGATATATAAGTTTAAAATTTAATTTTTTTTATAATAATTTATCATATATTTATCTTTAAAATATCATTAATTAATTATATTTTTTTGAATTTTTACTTAGAAAATATTATAAAATTTATTATAAAAATATTGTGAACAGGTAAATGTGATACAGCTCATGTGACGCAAAAGATCGACTAATTTGACATAATGATATATATGATATGTCAGACATATGTGACATAACTGACATATTAGACGTAGTTGACATATTAGACATAGTTAATATATTAGACATAGTTGATATATTAAACATAGTTGATATATTAGACATGTTAGTTATATCTCTTTATGTAATTTATTTTATATAAATAGGTAGCTTTTTAGTTCATGTAAAAAGACAGATCAATAGGAACTTGACAAGTTAGTTTTAGTAGTTTTTAGAGGCAACTGGTCTACTGCATTACATTTTTGTTTCAGTAATTCATTTTTTTTCTTTTCTTATTTTATTTTCTTATTTCCTTTTAATTCTTTTCTTTTACTTTTATTATTTTACTCGTGAATAAACACATTATTTTACAATTATAACTCCTTGGTAATTTGTTGAATTACTGCTCGTCGTAATAGTATAAACACTTTTAAAAATCAGTCTAAAATAAAATTCGTTAATCATTGAAAGATTACTGCTTAATTAAAAAAAATAACTGCTCAAACACCTCGTCTAACAGTTGTAGTTCGTAAGAATTACACGTTAACATTTGGCGATGATGACAGGACATCTTTCCTAATTGGCACAGTAATAACCCATGCGAAATACTCTATAAACAATTTTAGAGAATTAATTAAGTATCAATAAAACCATTCAGCTATATATAATAGATCAGAGTGTAACTTTAGGAAAACTACTAGTGATACCTTAACCGATGACCTATCCTGCATCGCTTGTAATCTACCTCCTAAGAAAATTCCTCAATCTTTCCTCAATTTCTTTGAGTA